GGGACCCCCCTCAATAAAGCCACCTGATCAAACAGATGGTGACAGACTGAAGTCAAAAAGCACCAAATGCAAAGACTCGAGGAGAAGACCGAACCAGCCACGTAACGGACCGAATCGAGCATCTGAAAACGGCGGAGCCGTGGGAAAAACCCTGGTTACTGACACCAAGCAAGCAGCGCCCGATCCAAGGCAGGCAGGGAACCAGATGGAACCTCCGCTAAGACACCAAGGAATCTGAACCAGGCGAGCTGGGAAAGGACCTAATCCCTGGTGAGCAGAACCGCCCCATCTGAGAGGCATTTCCTCCCCCTGGACCGCCGACGAACCGACAAGGACCAGAAAGCACCACAGCAGGGAAAGAACAAGGGGAAAGCGGACCAAACTCTGGCCAAAATGACCCACACTCCAAAGTCTGGGACTATAAGCAAAATGGGGCAGCCACAGGGCTTCCGGGGTAGCAAAGAACCTAGCACGTTGCAGCAAAATACCAAGCTTGCAACGCCAGAGCTGCCAGCACCAGGAGAGTGTCATCAGTGGACTGGGTGAACAGAGTCACAAACAAGCAACAACTCGCAGGGCTCTGGGTCGAAGGTGTAACCGACTCAACAGGCAGCTGGACGGAGGCAAAACCGTGAGTGCCACCCTGAGAGAAGGGGACAGAGCAACCCTCAATCAAACTCGCAAAATACAAGTGGGGACTCAGGGGTCACATCCAACGGACCCACACGCCCCCATGGGGTTTCCCAGGGCCCTTAGCTTTTCAATCTCCACTGAGTGAAGCCCAGGCAGGGTACTACTAACCGGCTCCCAATATTACCAAGCAAACTTCTAAGACTGCACCTCTGGGATGTGTCTGCACACGGGGACCTAGATGGGGTACCACCAATATATGTACAGAGGATGTGACCCAACTCAAGGGCAGACACTCCCGCTAAGGCAACGAACAAAAAGAAACAAAATATCCCGCAAGAGGGCAGCGTACCCAAAGGATGCAGAGCCAGCCGCTATGTGAGTTGAAAATTAGCTGTGTCAGTACCCTGTGCCCCTACCAGTGACGAATACTACCCCTATCCAGAGACAAAAAGAAGAGCAGGAAAACCCCCCAGCTGACTCCAAGAGCGGCCAAGTACAAAGCAGTAATTGACACAATGGAGGTAGTTCCCAAGGCGACTTGTGGAAGGAGGGTCCCAAGCCCCAAGGGCAGTACTTACAGGGCGCTTAGGGAAGGGGACCCTAAGCGCATGCAGCCCAAGATCTTGTGAATATACTCCCAGCTCGCACACCACCGAAGCAAGTACAAAGAAGAAAAACCATAGCTGGAGGTACACAACCGAAGCCCACCGACATCAGCCAAGAACTGACAGGCTCGGGTAGCCGGCGGAGGGTCTGGGGCTCCTCCTTTCCCCTCCCTGGGGAGGGGGGTTGCGCAGATGGTGGCACGTTGGTAACGAGATGACGTCATGCTCGTTTGATCGTTTTTCTTCATGGAGAGTTCTATCCTCTCGTTCGGCGTTTGGTAGCATTTCTTCACCAGAATGGGTGTGTGTTTTGGCTCACCTATCTTTCTGGGTGCCCGACCAACTCGATGGCAGACATAGAGTACGTCTAAACCATATATAAGGTGTCTCTATAGGCCATTGCTCCTCGTGCCTCTCTGAGGGGGCTGGGTTCTGGCTCGTGTTCCCTGGTAGGCCTAGAACTCCATGTATATTGACTGACACCCAAAGCTTATACATTCGTATCAGCCTGATAGTTCCGGGGAGCCGAAGGGGATCCATCCAGAAATACCTGTATAATATACGTTTAATATATATACAGCATAATATAATATACATATAATATATTTATAATATACATATAATATATTTATAATATACATATAATATATTTATAATATACGTATAATATATTTATAATATAATACACATAAAGGTATAGAGTATTTATAATATATAACACACAATATAATATAATATAATATAATATAATATAATATATAATATACACACACGAGTGTGTGCATGTGCACAAAGATCTCAGGAGACACTAAAGGTGCCAGGCAGGTGTACAACATTGGTGGTCTCACTGTTCTCTTCACTGGCAGGAGGGGAAAGCAGCAAGGTGTTGTTTGGGATGGTTTTGAGTTTGTTTTGGATTCATTCTTGGCAAATGTTTCTCTACAAGCATTGTGAATTTGTTTGTGACATCCCCCCCCCTTTCTCATCCCTGACCTTTTCAGCAATTTTGGCAGGGTTTTTCTCAGTACAGTATATAGGATGTATGAATAATGATTTCCTTGGGTTCACCCTCTTCTTTGAGGAGACAGAATTTTGGTACCTGCTCCCAGTAGGTTGTGAGATGGTCACAGATGCCTGATGTATTGTATCTGGCCCTAGGGTATCAGTGCTTACCCCAGCATTAACTATGGGGAAATGAAATCTTGCTCTATATGCCCTGTCTCCTAGCCATTTATACCTGGCTTGCTAATTCTCTATCAGCATTAAATTTTCAATTTTTTTTCTTAAAGTTGTGCATGGAATTTGCTTCAACAACCTTCTCCTCCAATGCATTCCACTTGCCGACCATTAGTACAGGAAACAATAACTTCTTTACATCTCGCAATGACTTGACTGTGTGTCCAGCTTCCACCAATGTCCATCTTGTCGACCTCAATTTAAATTTCCTTCATTTGTCCACTTTGGACCAATTTCCCACAGGGTGTTTAAATGTATTGATCAATATCCCCCTATTTCTTCTCCCCTAAGGTTGTGAGAGTGAGTTCCCTCAACCTGTTCTCATAGCTCAGCTCTCAATTCTGGTAATAATCAAGTAGCAAACCTCTGAACTTCCACAAGCTTCTTTTTTTGTGCTTCACAACATATGGGTTCCACGCTAATGCTGCATATTCAACTAATGGTCTCACATAGCCAGTGTGTATGGATGTGAAAGCCTCTAGTTTAGTTTCTTAAATTATGTTCTAATGTTTGCCAACTTCCCATATGCTGCTGATGTTACTTATTCATATGAAATATTAGTGTTAGTGTTATGATTATGTATACTTTTAGGTCTTTATCTTTTATTGGTTCTTGCAATTGCCTTCCCCCTTATAGTGTTGTTAAATGGAGGTTTCCTATTCCCCTTAACCATTTTGATTACAATCATTTCGATTTAATTCCAGCAGCCATTTATCTGCCCGGTCCTCAAGTTTGTCAAGGACATCTAGCAGTTAGTTCTTAATCTCCTCGTTAGGTTTGCATCACCTATAAACACTGACATGTTTACAGATGCATTCTCATAGATAATTGAATTCCCTCTAGGTCATTTACATTAATTAGGGAAAAAAAGAGCAATGGTCCTAGGACAGAGTCCTGTCAAACACCACTTTCCGCTTCTCTCTATCCCCTCTGATTATGGAGTCCGTTCTCTTGATTTGCCACAATGTACAAAATACAACGTGTTAATCTAGCCAGATGTACACAAACTTAACCACCCACATCCTAACCTATGGTTCCATAGAAAACAAATTTTTGTGAGCCACTATTTTTCATTGTACAGGTACTTTGTCGGGAACTAAAACATGCAAAATGAGATATATTAGTTAAGAGAACGGGTTGTGCTATGACCCTTTGTATCCTGTCCATCACTCCAATGCCTTTCCTATTATTCCTGCTTGTCTCTCCATCTTGTGTAATATTCTTTTGTGGAGAACTGTATCAAAAACTTTCTGGCAGTCTAAGAAGATGCAGTTTTCTCAACTTTCCTTCTCTTGTCTTAGTTTGGTGACCGTCATAAAATTCAATCAAGTTAAGCATGATTTTCACTCTGAAGCAGTGTTGTGTTATAAAATTTACTTTCCCAATATGTCTTACAATTCTTTTACTATTGACTTTTTCCAGCATTCTACATGGAATACATGTTAAAATTGCTATATTAATATGTCTATACTATTTCAAGTCCCGATTTCTGGTAGCTCTCCTGTCTCATATAATGTTGAACAATATATTGAGCAGTTAATTAGTAACTGTATGTCCCTACAGCTTCGGTACCCCATGGTGATATACGGTCTGGTGGTACCACTTTTGTTACATCCAATTCCTCTGGGTGATTTTTACCTCTTCTGCATTAACTTCAGTTTAATCTAGTGTTGTTTCCGGTCATTAGTTGTCACTTGGACACTAGTCTAGTTCTGGAATGTAGCCCTCCTGGAACCTTTTCTAGAGTTCAATACACACTTTTTGTATTCTTCAAGAATGTTTCTTCCTGTCGGCACAGTCTGATCACATAGCTTCATACTATTGTCTTTTCTCTATATTTGACTATGCAGGTTTAGGTGAGCTCTTTTCTTTTGCTGCAATGTCAATTTCAACCTGCTGCTCTCCTGATTCTAGTGTACACATATCTGGCCCTTTTTAAGTGCATTAATTTTGGGGAGCCACTAAGGCAGGGGGGGGGGGTCATGACAAATAACCTCAACAATATTATTTCTACTGATATAATTAACTCCTTGAGGTTATCTTGAGATGATTTCGGGGCTTAGCGTCCCCATGGTCCGGTCCTTGACTATGCCTCCTTTTTGTTACTCACTCCCAGGAAGCAGCCCATAGCAGCTGTCTAACTCCCAGGTACTTATTTACTGCTATGTATCAGGGACATCTAGGAGACAGAAATTCTGCCCATTTTTGTTTCCGACTCAACCAGGGATCGAACCCAGAACCTCAGGACTACGAAACTGAAGCACAGTCCACTCAGCCGGCAGGCCCCTCACCTTTGTATCTACTTTACTTAGTATCTACTTTACAGTTATATGAGAATATAAATTTACATGGAAAAGAATACTGCTTAGTATTTCCAATATTTTGAACATTGTTGTCAGTCAGAAACAAAATTTGACTTCAGTACATATTGGAAGAATATCTTCCAATTCTGAAATTGGAAGATGTCTGTCCAATAAAGCTTAAAATGTTGCCTAAAAGCTGAGTTTTCTTGTGTTAAAAAAAAGCAAAATGTATAAATTTTAATGGGAACGGCTCTTATATCTAATACAAATTGTTTTGAAGATGCAGAAGCCAGAGCATTATAGGCTAGTACTGGTTACACAGGAAGATTCAGGCTGGTGCTCCTGGGTGCACAAGCTTATTTACTTGGGTAAGGATGGCAGATGGCCTAGATGGACCTTGATGAGACTAAAAGTGTCCTAGTACAGTTCACACACTACTATGTAGTCACATATTCTCAACGAAGACAGTTATATTCATGTAGCATATAAGAATGTGAAAAAATATAACCATTCCTGTACAATTTATAATAATCACAGATACAGCTTTTAACACAGAATTAGCTGGTTTCTTGTTTTAAGGCAATAAATGAACATATAGAATATTCTGCTGTTACACCTTCCCCCCCCCCAACTCCTCAGAACACCTCTTAAAGAACAGGTACAGGAGGCAAATTAACTGTCTTAGGACCTTTATCTTGGATCTCCATATGGGGTGTCATATCAAAAGTGATGGCCTTGAGTCCTAAGAAGCCTCCAGAGCCAGGCTGACCTTTGTGAAAGAGCTCCACACCAGACCACCAAGAGCCCGGAGAAGGAGCCACTGGCTGTGCATCAAAGAAAGGTACAGTTAGTTGAGCAACATCCTTTGCTCTGTCAGTGGGGCCAAAACGTATGAATGAGTCTGGATTGGAATACACACGGGAGAGGTCTGAGAACTTTGCTGGGTCATCAGGTGAGTAAATCATGACTTCAGTCCTTGGGTTTTGGGCCATAGCAGGTGTGTTGTCATTGCTGATCCAGTAGCTCTTGAAGGGATCGAGCTTTCCTGTTGTGTAGTTTACAGGTGTAATTTGTGCCTGGGGAAAATATGGAAGAAAGTTTCTCAGATTACATATAGATTATAGAAAATTTTGTTCAGCAATGTTTGTAACCCTTATAATTTATTTTGAAAGCTCGAAAGTATATTCTACAATTATGTGTGTATACGGTACTGAATATATATGTGAATATTATATGCTAGATCACTTGGTAAACATTTTGACGATTTAAATGCATTACTCACAGCACTAGGTACTAACTTATCGTTCATTATTTTAACAGAAACTTGGCTAAATAAAGACTATACCCAACTCTACAACTTAGCTGGTTATAAAGCCATTCATAACAGTAGGCCTAATAAAAAGGTGGTGGCACAGCTATATATTACCGAGATACATTTATCTGCAACAGTGTTATTAGTGACAGAGATGACTACTGTGAATATACTTTTGCTCAGTTTACAATTAAATCCCTTAAATCCTCTTTGACTATTGGAGCCATCTATAGATTTCCTAATACTAACATAGCTTCTTTCTCAGACAACCTAAGGAATCTTATTATAAACAACAATCTCAACAAAAACCACATCATTCTGGGAGGAGACTTTAATATTGACCTGGGTCAACAAAACTGCTCTCAAGTTGACTATTTCCTTAACAGCATGAACTCCTGTATGCTAATCCCCACAATCACCAAACCTACCCGAGTCACTCAAACATCAGCCACTACCTTGGACCACATATGGACAAACATAACAGCTCCCCTTATATCTGGTATAATCTACGACAGAACAACTGACCACTATCCTACCTTTCTCATAGCGAACATGGACATAACACCACCAAAAAGCAAGAAACTTTCATTTAGGCTACACAGTGAATCAGCTTTAGGCAATCTTACAGATGCACTTCACAATATCAACTGGGATTCTGAATTCAATAATACCCATGATATAAATTCATTAGCTAACCTCTTCCTCTCCAAAACTCTAAGCCTCTACAACCTTCATTGTCCCCTTCTTACCAAGCAAGTAACTGACAAAAGATTAAACAATCCATGGCTCACAAGTGGCATTCTCAACTCAATCAACAAGAAACATGAATATGAAAAGAAACTTAGGATTGGCCTAGTTTCAAAGGATGTAGTTAAAAGGTACTCATCAATGCTTACCAGTATCATAAGAAAGGCAAAACTTGCATATTATGTGAATAGATTCAATGAAGCAAAATGCAACATGAAAAGCACTTGAAAAACAATCTCTAGTATCCTAGGAACTAAACAACACTCACATAAGCAAATAAAACTCTACAAGGATGGGGGATATACCGTCAACTGATTTAGAAATGGCAAATGAATTTAATAGTTTCTTTTCATCGGTTGGTGCTAATCTTGCCAGTAAAATCCCACAGACTCAGACACATATCAACACATATCTCTCAGGCAGCTATCCAACTCTCTTCTCCTTTCACCAATCAGCCCGGCAGATGTTGTGTCCATTATACACTCTCTAAAAACCAAGGCAGGGAACACCAGTGAAATTCTGTCCATTGTGTACAAGAGAGCCTCCCATGCCCTTGCCCCACCCATAGCACTACTGTTCAACAAATATATAGAGTGTCACACCATCCCTGATATCCTCAAAAAAGCAAGAGTAACGCCAGTCCACAAAGGAGGCAATCCGGCGGACATAAACAATTATAGACAAATATCAAATCTACCCATTCTATCAAAAATATTTGAAAAAATTATTTACAAACAGCTCTATTCCTACCTCGTAAAATTCGACATACTTAGCCCCTGCCAGCTTGGCTTCCGGTCCCAAGAGAGCACCAACGATGCAATCATTAGTCTCCTTGACGTTATCTACTCAGCCCTTGACAAAAATGAGTTTCCGATTGGACTCTTCATTGACCTAAGAAAAGCCTTTGATACTGTTAATCACAACTACCTCTTACTTAAACTCCAGCATTATGGAATCCGAGGCCTTGCCCTTGACTACATCCGATCCTATCTTAGTGACAGACACCAATATGTAACCATCAATGATACAACTTCTTCCACTCTACCAATTACCGTTGGAGTGCCACAGGGCAGCATCTTAGGACCTCTTCTATTTCTTATATATATAAACGATCTGCCTAATGTCTCTAATATTCTCAAACCTATATTGTTTGCTGACGATACTACCTTATCTATTCAGACCTCAACCCACATACACTAAATAATGTTGTGAATAATGAATTAAAAAAAGTCCACTTATGGATGTCAACGAACAAACTAACATTAAACATCGAAAAGACTTACTACATCTTATTTGGAAGCAAATCATCAAATGCAATTCAGCTACAGATAGACAACATTAACATCAGTAATAAAAATGATGGCAAGTTTCTTGGCCTATTCCTAGACAAGAGACTCAACTTCAGCACCCACATTCAACACATAACTAAGAAAGTCTCTAAGACAGTTGGTATACTCTCCAAAATCAGATATTATGTTCCTAACTCTGCTCTCCTCTCACTATATTATGCACTAATCTACCCCTATCTTAATTATGGTATCTGTGCATGGGGGTCTACCACTGCAAACCACCTTAAGCCCATCATCACAGCAAAAATCTGCTATCAGAATAATAACTAACTCTGCTTTCAGACAACACTCAGCTCCCTTGTTTAAATCCCTAAACTTGCTAAATATTAACTCCCTCCACACATTCTCTTGTGTCAACTACATTTACAAAACCCTGTTCTTAAATGCAAACCATGCACTGAAACTCTCCCTGGACAGATGTAATAGGACCCATTATCACCACACCAGAAATAAATATATCTTTGATATCCCCAGGGTCAAACTTAATCTGTGTAAACACTCTATGCAAATTAAGGGAACTAGTCTATGGAACTCACTCCCTAGTGAATTGAAAAGCTGTCAAACTTTTGCCTTATTTAAAAGCAAAACCAAAATGTACCTAATTTCATCTTCTTAGTTTCCTACACTGAGCTCTAAATTTGCTCTGTACCTAGTGTTACCCAATCTCCTAATTTTTATGTAATATCAAACAACCTTATCATTGTGTTCATTGCTGTCTTCTTTTATGTGCTAGCTATATGCTGTATTGTGACTACCAATTTTTGTCAACTACCATTCAAGCTGTCATTGCAATCAATCTTAGCTACCTATGTGCTTTAATATACTGTACCTACAATTTTCTCTCATCTTCTTTTTTTCATTCCATGTAACTGTTATCATTTTTTATTGTCTGTAAATTTTGCAAGTATTTACCTCCTTAAAATTTTCTTAGATTAAGGACCTGCCCGAAACGCTGCGCGTGCTAGTGGCTTTACAAGACTGTAATTACCATATTTGTATCCTCACATTCGCAATGTACATTCTTGTATGTGCATAAATAAATAAATAAATAAATAAATAAATAAATAAATGTGTATACGGTACTGAATATGGACCACTACCATATGAAAGATACAAGATTACACAAATTTACACAAATTTTGTTTTTAGGAGACATAGATTTTATCAGAATCACAGATATTAACACCAAGTAAAATATGATAACACCCAGCACTTCCACAAATACGATAACATCTTTTCTGTGGGGAACCCCGTCGAGTCCTTGAAGCTATCCGAACTGATATAGTGCTATATTAGTTTGGGGTCATCAGTCACAAGAGTCCTTTTGCCTACCGGGAACCATGAGCCAAAACCTGGTCCCCTCAGAGAGGTGCAGGGAGCAATGGCCAATGAGAACTTTACATTTAAAGTATATCATAATTGCCATCGACCGAGAAAGCACCCAGAAAGATAACCGAAACAAAACAGACCACAATCTGGTGAAAATTGCGACCAATGTCTGAAAAGAGCAGAGTCTGTCTGAGAAAAGAGAAAAATATGAAAACAAGCAAAACTTCACCCAACTAGCACTCCTGCTCGTTGGATGCTAAGCCCACTCCCACTCGTTGATGCCTAGTACCTGGTTGATACCTGGATGATGGGGTTCTGGGAGTTCTTCTACTCCCCAAGTCCAGCCCGATGCCAGGCTTGACTTGTGAGAGTTTGGTCCACTAGGCTGTTGCTTGCAGCAGCCCGCAGGCCCACATATCCACCACAGCCCTGGAACCAACTGGAGTGCCGGTTGGTCGGGCACTCCTTGGAGAAACTGATCAAGTTTTCTCTTGAAGATGTCCATGGTTGTTCTGGCAATATTTCTTATGCTCGCTGGGAGGATGTTGAACAACCGCGGACCTCTGATGTTTATACAGTGTTCTCTGATTGTGCCTATGGCACCCCTGCTCTACAGTGCTTCTATTCTGCATTTTCTTCCATATCGTTCACTCCAGTATATCGTTATTTTACTGTATAGATTTGGTACCTGGCCTTCCAGTATCTTCCACGTGTATATTATTTGATATCTCTCTCGTCTTCTTTCTAGTGAGTACATTTGGAGAGCTTTGAGACAATCCCAATAATTTAGGTGCTTTGTTGCATCTATATATGCCTTATATGTTCTCTGTATTCCCTCTATTTCAGCAATCTCTCCTGCTCTGAAAGGGGAAGCGAGTACTGAGCAGTACTCAAGACGGGACAGTACCAGTGATATGTTTAGTACAACCATTGTGATGGGATCCCTGGATTTGAAAGTTCTCATAAACCATCTGATAATTTTTCATGCAATATTTGCTTGGTTATGCTCCCTAAACGTTAGGCTGTCAGACATCATTATTCCCAAATCCTTTACATGCTGCTTTCCTATTATGGGCACATATGATTGAGTTTTGTACCCTGTATTATGTTTAAGGTCCTCATTTTTACCATACCTGAGTACCTGGAATTTATCACTGTTACACATCTTGTTATTTTCTGTTGCCCAGTCAAAACTTCATCAATACGGGGTACCTCGGTTTAAGAATTTAATCCGTTCCTGGAGATGGTTCGTAACCCAAAAATTTGTATACCGAAGCGAATTTCCCCATAAGAAATAATGGGAAATAAATTATTCCGTTCCTGACTCCCCAAAAACTTC